CAGGCAGTAATTAAATAAACAACACTTGTAGACAACATATACACTGTCAGTATTCTTTAGCGTGTGTGACAAAATCGAATACATGCATTAGAAATTGTTTCGAGAGATCCTATGTATATCTTACAGAGACCACATCCCACGACCTTCGCCTCATCATCATTCAACACACTGGCAACTATAAACATTTCAAAACAAAGTTAATGAATGAATCAAGAATTGATTGACATCACTGCACTCAGTGCATTCCCACTCGTGCTCCGTCCCCTTTTTCGGTGTCCAACGAAAAGTTGAGAAGCTTATAGTACCGGCTGCAACCTGATTAAAAGTCCGCCTCTGTTTTCCCTTTAATGTCAATATCTCCAAGAATCTGTACACACACTCCTGTCGATTTAGTATTTGAATGTATGGATTCGCTATCTTTTTTTTTTTTGGCACCGTCCATGTGATGCCATGAAGCCGTCACTAAATCTACTTTATTATATAGTAGCTCACCGCCCAGAGGTTTAGAAGCAGCTAATATATCAGCCTGCTCGTTACCGCATTCACCTGAATATCCTTGATAGAATGTCATGATGCACTCTTGATCTGACTCTTATATTGTTTCGCAAGCCACTCTGGTCACATGACACTAGCTTCCGAAGCAGTCTCTGTAAGTCTGTTATAATTACAACATGTCGGGCTGTGCTGTTCTCATGCAATGGGAAAGCTGTTGTTACTGCCTCCACCTCCATTCGCATACCGGATGCAGTGACATTGTACGCGAGGCTGTTTTAATGCAATGACCTTTGCAATCAAACACCACCCACTCTTTTTACCTCTCACCACCGACCCATATATTATGATGTCCCCTAGAATTTTGTTAGCAACAGTGAAAAATGTGGTAAATGCAATGGTAAATGACTGGCATTCTCTCTCGATTATAGGCATTCCCTCCACACGTGGGGTGAAATTTTTCGTTAATTTGAAGTCCCACTCCTGGTGTTGCCGAAGGGCCTTAATATAACCCAACCTATGGGTTGAACGCGTCTATGTCTAAGGCGTAGGGCAGGCGCTTCGTAATGCCGGGTTCGATCTCAGCTGCTGGCCTTGCGCCTTGCGTTGGTTTCGACAGTGGTATCGAGAAGCCGACCGTCCAGAGGCAATGGCAAACTACTGGACGTAAATTTGCCTACAAAAACCACAACAGCCAATGCTGGAGTTGGTTCTGCAACGTCCTGTAAAGGATACGCAACTAACATGGGTTGAACCGGGTTTCTGGGACCTCTCCAACGGTGATCTTCGTGGTGTCACCAGGTGTTTATCGCTCAGTGTGATGTCCTGGTGGGGTAAATAGTCAGTGAATCGGTCTCTCCCGAAAGTTGAGGTATTTTAGATATGTCAAGTTGCCAGGCTGGTCTGAAGAGAACGGAGATGGAGGCTGCAGTTTTCATAGAATGGAGCAGAAGCTGACAGAGGATGACCTGGATACAGAATGTGGTTGGATAGACAGGCCTTAAACATTCAAACATTAATTCCACTGCAGCTGACCACCAGAGGGGGAGACAACTGATTATACAGGCAATGAGAACTGGCGAACCTGACTGACGTTTTACCCCACCAGGGTATCACACAGAGCAATGAACACCTGATGACACAAAGTGCCACCATTCGGACGAGGATCACCCTGGATCAGGTCTCAGAAACCCCGTTCAACCCGTAGACTGGGTTATATGAGAACTCCCGGCAACAGCCAGGGTGAAGCTTTAAAACAACAACAACAAATGCATCCGACATTGGGACGCAGGAATAAAACTACTGGTGAACCTACAACACGCGATTTTAGGGACTATGATAACTGCGACTAAACATAAGCTCTCAAAACATACACATCTTGCTTGTTGATATACATGAATAGTATCTAACCATACAACGCGCGTTGTTCGGGACATGTCTAAACAAATCAAAGTAATCAAGAAAGTCAAAAAGTATATGTCAGCTATACAAAACCAATTACAATGAACAAGCGGATGACGTTGTGGTCTTCATTAGCAGAACAATGACAAGTAACAATTGACAAAACACACATATATTTATGGACTCTGAAAATGCTACAACACAATATTATATACACGATTTAGCTGTTCATTGTAAGTGCTTTTGGAAAAATGACCTATGCAAGTAAGTAAATGACGTTTTTTCGCGCGTTTAGACGTACTGGGCAAATAGGTTTAGACCTTTTTTTTTTTATAGAGCAGTCGGCACTCCGTGGGTGATATGAACTTCATTACACAGCCGCCTTTACTTCCCAGAACTCTACATGGTACCCATTTAAGACTAGGTCGACCTTGGAGCCAAGGTCACTTTTAAAATAAAAGTCTTGTCAGGCTGAACCCACAACCTTCGGATCCGCAGGCAAACGTAAATCTAACAATTATTTTATGTTTTTCTGACCCATTTCAGTCTTTTCCCTTCGTGACATATACTTTTTGTTTTTCTGACTCTCTTCTGTCTTTTCTCTTCCTGGCAGACACTTTTTGTTTTTCTGACCCTCTTCCGTCTTTTCTCTTCCTGGCAGACACTTTTTGTTTTTCTGACCCTCTTCTGTCTTTTCTCTTCCTGGCAGACACTTTTTGTTTTTCTGACCCTCTTCTGTCTTTTTTCTTCCTGGCAGAAACTTTTTGTTTTTCTGACTCTCTTCTGTCTTTTCTCTTCTTGACATATACTTTTTGTTTTTCTGACTCTCTTCTGTCTTTTCTCTTCCTGGGAGACACTTTTTGTTTTTCTGACCTTCTTCTGTCTTTTCTCTTCCTGGCAGACACTTTTTGTTTTTCTGACCCTCTTCTGTCTTTTCTCTTCCTGGCAGACACTTTTTGTTTTTCTGACTCTCTTCTGTCTTTTCTCCTCTTGACATATACTTTTTGTTTTTCTGACTCTCTTCTGTCTTTTCTCTTCCTGGGAGACACTTTTTGTTTTTCTGACCTTCTTCTGTCTTTTCTCTTCCTGGCAGACACTTTTTGTTTTTCTGACCCTCTTCTGTCTTTTCTCTTCCTGGCAGACACTTTTTGTTTTTCTGACTCTCTTCTGTCTTTTCTCCTCTTGACATATACTTTTTGTTTTTCTGACTCTCTTCTGTCTTTTCTCTTCCTGGCAGACACTTTTTGTTTTTCTGACTCTCTTCTGTCTTTTCTCCTCTTGACATATACTTTTTGTTTTTCTGACTCTCTTCTGTCTTTTCTCTTCCTGGCAGACACTTTTTGTTTTTCTGACTCTCTTCTGTCTTTTCTCTTCTTGACATATAATTTTTGTTTTTTTTTGACTCTCTTCTGTCTTTTCTCTTCCTGGCAGACACTTTTTGTTTTTCTGACTCTCTTCTGTCTTTTCTCTTCTTGACATATACTTTTTGTTTTTCTGACTCTCTTCTGTCTTTTCTCTTCCTGGCAGACACTTTATGTTTTTCTGACTCTCTTCTGTCTTTTCTCTTCTTGACATATACTTTTTGTTTTTCTGACTCTCTTCTGTCTTTTCTCTTCCTGGCAGACACTTTTTGTTTTTCTGACCCTCTTCCGTCTTTTCTCTTCCTGGCAGACACTTTTTGTTTTTCTGACCCTCTTCTGTCTTTTCTCTTCCTGGCAGACACATTTTGTTTTTCTGACCCTCTTCTGTCTTTTCTCTTCCTGGCAGAAACTTTTTGTTTTTCTGACTCTCTTCTGTCTTTTCTCTTCTTGACATATACTTTTTGTTTTTCTGACTCTCTTCTGTCTTTTCTCTTCCTGGGAGACACTTTTTGTTTTTCTGACCTTCTTCTGTCTTTTCTCTTCCTGGCAGACACTTTTTGTTTTTCTGACCCTCTTCTGTCTTTTCTCTTCCTGGCAGACACTTTTTGTTTTTCTGACTCTCTTCTGTCTTTTCTCCTCTTGACATATACTTTTTGTTTTTCTGACTCTCTTTTGTCTTTTCTCTTCCTGGCAGACACTTTTTGTTTTTCTGACTCTCTTCTGTCTTTTCTCCTCTTGACATATACTTTTTGTTTTTCTGACTCTCTTCTGTCTTTTCTCTTCCTGGCAGACACTTTTTGTTTTTCTGACTCTCTTCTGTCTTTTCTCTTCTTGACATATAATTTTTGTTTTTCTGACTCTCTTCTGTCTTTTCTCTTCCTGGCAGACACTTTTTGTTTTTCTGACTCTCTTCTGTCTTTTCTCTTCTTGACATATACTTTTTATTTTTCTGACTTTCTTCTGTCTTTTCTCTTCCTGGCAGACACTTTTTGTTTTTCTGACTCTCTTCTGTCTTTTCTCTTCTTGACATATACTTTTTGTTTTTCTGACTCTCTTCTGTCTTTTCTCTTCCTGGCAGACACTTTTTGTTTTTCTGACTCTCTTCTGTCTTTTCTCTTCTTGACATATACTTTTTGTTTTTCTGACTCTCTTCTGTCTTTTCTCTTCCTGGCAGACACTTTTTGTTTTTCTGACTCTCTTCTGTCTTTTCTCTTCTTGACATATACATTTTGTTTTTCTGACTCTCTTCTGTCTTTTCTCTTCCTGGCAGACACTTTTTGTTTTTCTGACCCTCGTCTGTCGCTTCTCTTTCTGACATATACTTTATGTTTTCTAACCCTCTTTTCTCTTCCTGACATATACTTTATGTTTTCTGACCCTCTCTTCTCTTCCTGACATATACTTTATGTTTTTTTTTTTAGCCCAGTCGCCTCAGTTTGATACATTGTTTGCGACAGATAGAAATTGATCTTATCGTTCCTTGCCCCTAACTCCAGTACAATTTGTTCCTAGAAAAAATTTTGAAGAAAAACCCACAAAACGCCAGAAATTACAATGTTTACAGTAAAAACGCTACTGCATGTTCGTATCTCTAGCCCAGTCACCTCATTTCAAGATACTGTTTGGAACAGAAAGAGACCAATCATACTGTTCCTTGCCCCACACTCCTGCACGATTGTTCTCTTAGAGAAAGCTATGAAGAAGAAATACACACAAAGCCAGAAATAAAAAGTTTGCAGTAATAACACTACTACATGTTGGCCGCGCTGTTGTCCTCTCATTCACGATTCGGGTGCAGAAAGGAAATTTGACCCTGTCCATCTGTGTCATGATGGCATGTCTCGCTCCTGACCAAGCATGGGGGCCTGTCAGTCTGTACTGGTAGGCGGTGCAAGGTCCGAACAGGCACGTCAGAGCCAGACGTGGGTCGCTGAGCAACAGACGACCTAAGCAGCACAAAACATGGAAGGGAATAACGATACAAAACGAAACATAGAAATGTGAAATAAGGATAAATTCCTGCTCGCTGTGCAGTATTCACCCCCTTGTGGGATGAAATTTTTCGTTATTTTGAAGCCCTACCCTAGCTCTTGCCAGGGGCCGCAATATAGCCCGGCTAAAAGTATGGTCTAATTGCTAAACGTAGTTTCCGGGACCTCTCTAAGGGTGATCCTCATCCACATGGTGGCACTTCGTGTCGTCGAGTGTTTATCGCTTGTGTGATGTCTGGGTGAGGTGGAAAGTCAGTCAGTCAGTCAAATTCCTGCTCTCAAGTGACATCGGCGAACGGGTCGCACATTAGCTGACCAGAAGACAACTTTGTCGCCGGTCGCGACAGTATTTGTGTCTGTGTTTCGAAACTGCGAGAGCCCTTATCAGGACTACCTCTTGGGGAGCAATGCTAAGTAATTTTAAATGCCTCAAATAACCTAGTCCTTATTATACCTTAAGCTCCCTCTTCGGTAATGCTGTTTGAACGTGACGATTTTTTTTAAGCAAAGCAACGGAACGAACTCTCAAGTGGTTGAGCGGTATCAGCCGTGTAGTAAGGGCTAGCCCATGACCATCTCCAGTAAGGGCCGTAGGGCTGATGATGTGAGCTTGACGTGACGTCAACATCCCGGGCTAATAATACGATTACTGGAGACGGTTAGAGCCGAACGCTCGCCTGCGTTTACATCTGTTTCGAGCCGGAATTTTTCATAAATGACCTAGTCTCCCAGATCCTTTCAGACTAAAATAGGTACCAGGTAATATCAAAGGAAGTAAAGACCACATCACCCACTAAGTGCCGAATGTCTATAAAATATGTTTTGCACTATATGCCCAATATGCGAAATGACGTGAAAAGGGCCCTAACATAAAGGGTTAAGCCCTTTATCTTGCACTCCGAGGGTCGTGGATTTGAAAAACAGACGCCAGTTCAAAGCAAAAAATTCGCATGCTTACAGTAACTTGAGTAAACTGAGCATAGGAAGCTTTTCCAAACATGCGCGCATCGGTGTTTTACTCTCAGGCAGTGTTGCCACTTTGGATGTTTTATATCCGGATTTAGATTTTTCCCCTTGCATTTAGATGGCGGTTTTGATGTTTAGATGGTAGATGTTTTTCTAGATGTTTTTTATTTGGAGTGAATTTATCAAATCTAACCTAAGAAAAAGGATTAAATTTGGCCTCTTGAATGCTGTCTTGGCAAAATTCGACCTGATAAGAGTAGGAAAAGGCTGTTCCACTTATCAGCTCCCTGATTGGGTATTAAAAGAAATTGGAACCGCTAAAGCATTTTGGATCTGAAGCTTCAACTTTACCATCCAAGCTAAGTTCATCCTGTGGATCTTGTGAGGCAGACTTCATTAAAGATGAGGACATAATTCTATACGGTAAGTCATATCAATTGCTATGTAATTTGTGACTTTTTCCATAGTTACTGCATATTTATATAAAGATCAAAGTAATTCGCCGCTTGAAAAAAAAAAAAAACAACGGCAGCATCTGCGCAACTGTGAATTGTAGAATAAAAAGGGCACGGTAAATATCAGGCCACATGCGAAAATTCGTGTTAATCCTTACAGGAGTTTTCTCGATATTTGTTAAAGTGTGACAGCATGAGTTTCGGAACACACTATAACAGTGATTCCCAAACTGTGCGCCGCGGCGCCCTAGGAAGATGCGACCTCTTCACAGGTTAGTTGCAGAACCAACCCCAGCAGCCCCTGGCTGCTGTGTGGTTTTTTAAGGCACATTTACGTCCATTAGTTTTCTCTTCACAGGGGCGCCGCAAAATATTCGAAGATACACGCGTTTTTTTTTTTTTTTAAATTTCTTACATACAAATAGTCACACTTTTCCTTAGGTTAGAGCGCTGTGAAAACATTTTAATTTGAAAAAAAAAAAAAAAAAAGTGCACCGCGACTAAGACAAGTTTGGGAAACACTGCACTATAACATGATTGCACTGAATAATTGTACATAGTTACCGATCTTTGGCTGACAGCCAACCATGGCCGCCAGCTCGTCCATGTAGGGAAGAAAGGAGACCTGGACGGTGTGGCGCTCGGTGTGGATGTATCGTGTCTCCATGGTTCGCTTCCTTGCGTCAACATCCTTCATCATCTGCCGCTGCGAAGGTAGTTTTACGTTATTCTGGAAAGAAAAGAATATTTTGACAATCACCATCAGGTAGCAGGTACGTTTTAAAACACAGACAGACAGGCAGGCAGGCAGGCAGGCAGGCAGGCAGGCAGGCAGCCAGGCAGGCAGGCAGGCAGGCAGGCAGATAGATAGATAGATAGATAGATAGATAGATAGATAGATAGATAGATAGATAGATAGATAGATAGATAGATAGATAGATAGATAGATAGATAGATAGATAGATAGATAGATAGATAGATAGATAGATAGATAGATAGATAGATAGATAGATAGATAGATAGATAGATAGATAGATAGATAGATAGATAGATAGATAGATAGATAGATAGATAGATAGATAGATAGATAGATAGATAGATAGATAGATAGATAGATAGATAGATAGATAGATAGATAGATAGATAGATTAGATAGATAGATAGATAGATTAGATAGATAGATAGATAGATTAGATAGATAGATAGATAGATAGATAGATAGATAGATAGATAGATAGATAGATAGATAGATAGATAGATAGATAGATAGATAGATAGATAGATAGATAGATAGATAGATAGATAGATAGATTAGATAGATAGATAGATAGATAGATAGATAGATAGATAGATAGATAGATAGATAGATAGATAGATAGATAGATAGATAGATAGACAGACAGACAGACAGACAGACAGACAGACAGACAGACAGACAGACAGACAGACAGACAGACAGACAGACAGATAGATAGATAGATAGATAGATAGATAGATAGATAGATAGATAGATAGATAGATAGATAGATAGATAGATAGATAGATAGATAGATAGATAGATAGATAGATTAGATAGATTAGATAGATTAGATAGATAAGATAGATAGATAGATAAGATAGATAAGATAGATAAGATGGATAGATAGATGGATAGATAGATAGATAAGATAAGATAGATAGATAAGATAGATAGATAAGATAAGATAGATAAGATAAGATAGATAGATAAGATAGATAGATAGATAGATAGATAGATAGATAGATAGATCGATAGATAGATAGATAGATAGATAGATAGATAGATAGATAGATAGATAGATAGATAGATAGATAGATAGAGATAGATAGATAGATAGATAGATAGATAGATAGATAGATAGATAGATAGATAGATAGATAGATAGATAGATAGATAGATAGATAGATAGATAGATAGATAGATAGATAGATAGATAGATAGATAGATAGATAGATAGATAGATAGATAGATAGATAGAGAAATAAAGGACACAGAAATCGGGGAAGGGGCCGGACAGACATAGAGATGGGGAGAAATAAAGTCGACCAATCGAGTTGTTCCCTCCGAGCTGCTTCTTAACCTTCTGAATGCCGATACCCTTTAATACAGTTCACCATGTTGTGGCGACCTCCAACCATACAAGTATTTTCGTTGCTACTCATAACTTCAGTGAATATGTGTTTTACAATGGTCTTTGTCGACCCCTATCAAAGGGGTCGTTCGACCCACAAAAGCGACGCGACCCACAGTTTGAGAGCTGCTGGTCTGGATGGTGACCAGCGGGCAGATCCCGGACACAGAGGGAAAATGAGTAAAGTTGAACGCCCACTAGCACCGCACACTGAGCGACTAACATCAGGTGACCCAAAGGGTCAATATTGGGAGAGGAATCTCCCAGATCAAATCCCAGAAATTCCACCCAACCGTACGGTTGGTTAGTTAGTTAGTTGGTCAGTCAGTCAGTTAGTTAGTTAGTCAGTCAGTTTGTTAGTCAGTCAGTTAGTTAGTTAATTAGTCAGTTAGTTAATTAGTCAGTCTATTAGTCAGTCAGTCAGTCAGTCAGTTAGTCAGTCAGTTAGTCAGTCAGTTAGTCGTCAGTCAATCAGTTAGCTAGTTAATTGGTCAGTCAGCCAGTTAGCTAGTCAGTCAGTTAATCAAATATTCAGTCAGTCAATTAGTTAGTTAGTTAATCAGTCAGCCAGTCAGTTAGTTAATTTGTCAGGTAGTTAGTCAGTCAGTTAGTTAATCAGTTAGTTATTTAGTTAATTAGTCAGTCAGTCAGTCAGTTAGTCAGTCAGTTAGTAAGTTAGTTAGCTAATTAGTCAGTCAGTCAGTTAGTTAGCTAATTAGTCAGTAAGTCAGTTAGTCAATTAGTAAGTTAGTTAATCCGTAAGTCAGTCAGTTAGTTCAGTCAGTCAATCAGTTAGTTAGTTAATTAGTCAGTCAGTCATTTACTCAGTCAGATAGTTAGTCAGTTAGACAGTAAGTCAGTAAGCTAGTTAGTTCAGTTAAATAGTCAGTCAGTTAGTCAGTCAGTTAGTCAATCGACAGATAATCCTCACTGCACATAGGACAGGTCCACAAGAGCTCTGATCCCATTTTCATGAAATCCCTCAGTGCGGGGGGACTGATAACACCAGTTCTGTGTTAGTTTACTATTCTTCTTTGGCTACCTGTATAGTTTTCATGTCTGGCAACACCTCTTTCGACCTGAAGTTCTTGTCGTCTTTTGAGTAACAGTAAGGTTATATTAGGACCCGAAGATTACAAAGTGAACCTGAAGTCCGGACAGGGTAGGACAACAAGAGAGAAAATAAATGGCCCAGAACATATTTATACACAACAGGGTCTGAAAGAACATAAACATATTACCGTGAACACCCGGACTGCCACTCGACACTGCATTTCAGTCACCGGCACAAGAGCTCCTTCCGCTTGGACGCAGCCAATCACAGCCAATGTGGGCGGAGTTAAAGCGGGCGGGAACATGTACAGGTAGAGCGGACTCTGATTCCCCTTCACCTCAATTATGGACTCGTCGAGGAAGGGAAAGCCGATTTTGTATCCTGTAGCCATGACAACCGTATCTACATCTGTAAAGAAGAAAGGGGAAAAAAAAACTAATATAGAGCCTTTTAGGGTACTGTGCATACCATAATGGGTTCTTTATATTTTATTCACCCCCCCAAACACGAGAAATCTCGATTTTCCTTCGAAGTCGGAGTGCATCTGCTTGATAGACAAGGAACCAACAGCCTGCATACACAAAAGTCAGATCTGTAAAAGTATGTGCAGGCAACACTTAGAATCTGGAACCAGACCTATGTCAAGAGGTGGACGAACAACCCGAACTTTCCGCTAGGGTTTACAGCCGGTAAAGGCGAAGAAGAAGAAGAACTTTAGCAAGACAATGCTGAGCTGCGACATAACAATACTAAACAATAGCCAAACAACAAGAGAATATAACCAAACAATACTGCAATATGAATCAATAATACTGGCCTATGGTAAAATAAAAGTTAACAATACTCAACTATATAGAAACAATATTGTACTATACTAAAACAATAGTGGGCTATATAGAAACAATATTGAACTACATAGACACATTTTTTGGACTATATAGAAACAATATTGAACTATACTGAAACAATTGACCTCTATAAAAACAACAGTGAACTATATAGAAAAATATTTGAGCTATACAGAAACAATACTATATAGAAACAATAATGAACTATAGAGAGACAATATTGCACTATATAAAAACAATACTCAACTGTGTAGAAACAATACTAAACTATACAGAAGCAGTATTAAACTATATGGAAACAAAACTGAACTATATACAAACAATAGTGAACTATGTAGAAACAATACCGGAATGTATAGAAACAATACTGAACTAAATAGAAACAATACAAAACCATATAGAAACAATACTGAACTATATAGAAACAATACTGAACTATATAGAAACAATACTGAACTATATACAAACAATACTGAACTATATAGAAACAAATCTGAACTATATAGAAACAATACTGAACTAAATAGAAACAATACAAAACCATATAGAAACAATACTGAACTATATAGAAACAATACTGAACTATATAGAAACAAATCTGAACTATATAAAAACAATACTGAACTATATAGAAACAAATCTGAACTATGCAGAAACAATATTAAATATATACAAACAGTACTGAGCTATGTAGAAACAAATCTGAACTATACAGAAACAATATGGAACTATGCACAGACAATAGTGAATTATGTAGAATCATTACTGAATTATACAGAAACAATACTGAACTATATAGAAACATACTGAACTTTGTAGAAACGATACTGCACTTTGTAGAAACAATACTGAGCTGTCTAGAAACAATACTGAACTTTGTAGAAACAATACTGAACTTTGTAGAAACAATACTGAACTTTGTAGAAACAGTACTGAACTTTATAGAAACAATAATAAACTATGCAGAAACAAAATCGATCTATACTGAAACAATAGTGAACTATATACAAACAATACTGAACTATATATGGTAAACCACAATGACCCATACATATACTTACCATCAGCAACTGTCCCGTCCCCAAATTTGACGCCGAACTCCGTGAACGAATCAATATCTGGTTTTAAGATCACGTGACCACAGGCGATCTTGTTGGGCAGCTCGTCGTTGACAGTTGGATGTGTGGCCAAAGGAGCATGCTTAGGGCTGCAAAGAACACCGTTAAGTCAAATAAAAAGTAAAGGACCGGTTTCCCATGCCATCAAGCCTTTAAGGCGGTCCTGTTCGCGTTTTCCGGCCAATCTACACACTTTCTTAGTCGGATCTAGGTCAGTGGGGTGTCACGTTGTACTGCTTTCTTCAAATAGACTCTTTCGTTTGACCTAGGCTCAGGTCGTGGTTAGGGTGTTTGTGTTAGGGCCAGTTCTAGATGTTCTGGCGTTGTTAAAAGCTGTGTCGTCGTGTAGTGTAGAACACGCGACATTGGCGCTGATTTAACTGAAGGCAAGACAACATGACACCCCTCCGACGTAGAAGAGTCTGAGAAAGTATGAATGAAAGGCCAGACACCGTGTAGATGGGCCGGGAATCGTCAACAGGACCCGCTAGACCTAAATTTTAAAGACAAATCGGCACTCGTAGGTGATGACCGTCTTTACCTCCCATGCTTTACTTAGTACTCACTCAACGCTGGGTCGATCTGGGAGCCGAGAACAATTCTGAGGGGAAAAAATGTCAGGCTCAGTTCGGATTTGAACTCACGACCTTTCGATCCGCAGGTGAGCGTCTGGTCGTTACAACATGGCAAAGAACGCATTCTTCTTCTTCTGCCTTCCTAACCCCCAATGAAGCATTGGCCCTCAACCAACTCACACCAAGTCGCTCTATCCTTTACTATCGCCTGCAGCTCTCCCCGTGTCCTCCCAATCTTTTTAACTTCACTATCTAGCATCCTTCTCCATGTGTGTTTTTTTTATCCTCCTTTATTTCTATGCCCTCGTGGGTTCCAGTGCAAAGACATTCTAGTTATATTGTTCACAGAAATGGTTAATTCTCAACAACAACAACAAAATTATAATAATAAACAAATAACAAAAAAAAAAAATTCAGAACGCCATAAGTAAAACAAAAATGCAACACAGAACCTACCCAAACTGGGTTACATGTAACTTCGAAACTGATTGGTACCTCAATTTAACTAGGTGTTACAAGGTTGAAGTTGCTTTCTGTGATTAGCTTTCCTAATATCCCACTACAAGACGTGGAGTCGTACACCTGATAGGGCACCAAGGCAGATAATTATAGGGGAACTGAAAGATATATTAAAATACTAACAGGTTAGTTGCGTATCCTTCACAGGACGTTGCAGAACCAACCCCAAAAGCCCCTGGCTGTTGTGTGGTTTTTCTAGGCAAATTTACGTCTAGTAGTTTGCTATTGCTCTCTGGACAGTCGGCTTCCTTGATACCACTGTCGAAACCAACGTTGTTTTGTGCACGTTTTTCTGTTTCCCCGTTTCGTTAAGCTTTTTAGTCACATTTCATTGGAATTACGCGATTCTAACCAGAATAGTGGCTCTTTGGGTCCTTATGTATTCACATTTCAGAAATCACTCCCGTAAAAAGGGATTGGGGAGGGGGCGGGAGGGGGGGGGGGGTTAAAAGCTAGTTTCGCGAGCCAGTCTTGCTAGTCACACTCGCTAGCGCGAGGGGTTGTATTCCTCTTTTTATTCATCTTTTCTTCTTCTTCATTCCTCTTTTTCTTCTATAATTCTCCTCTTCTTCTTTTCATCTTTATCTTCTTTTCCTCTTCTTTTTCTTTTCCTCTGCTTCTTCTTTTCCTCCTCTTCTTCTTTTCAACTTCTTCTTTTCCTCTTTTTCTTCTTTTCCTCTTCTTCTTCTCTTCCTCTTCTTCTTCTCTTCACCATCTTCTTTGGAGTGCTTTCAGTCGTTTGGTGACTGAATTTGCACATCCATTCCATATTGTGGAGCAATAGTCTATGTGGGTCTGAATATGACAGATATAGAATAATTCCCTAGTGTTTTCATCCAGAAAGTTTTTAATTTTTGCTAGTTGGTATACCTTTGTAGCAGTTTGCTTAACAAGTGTTTGCACGTGGGAGTTGAAGGTAAGATTTCCATCGAAGATGGCCACTAATTCAAAAACTGTAACGTGTCAAATCAGTTACTAGTACTACAATGCTAGCTACTCACGCACATTCTCAACAGCGAAGTGACATGGAGAAAATGTCAGCTTATGCGCTCTGCCGTGTAATCGTTAGTTGGTATACCTTTTTAGCAGTTTGCTGAACAAGTATTTGCACATGGGAGCTGAAGGTGAATTTTCCATTGATGATCAGGCCTAAAGCTTTGTGCTCAGTTACACTTTCTACTAGTGTGTTACATATGTACAGTTGAAGGGTTCTATGTGAGTTTAAAGTGCACAGTTTTTGTCTTGTTGTTATTAACATATATTTTGTCTTGCTTATGTTGATTAGCATGCGTTATGCGTAGGTCCAACTAACTACAGTATTTAATTGTTGTTGAAAATACAACTCTAGTACATTACAAATTCGAGCATTTGTATAGATGGTACAGTCATTAGCGAATAAATTGCACAGACATAAGGGCAGATCATTTATGTAAATTGCAAATTGCAGGGGGCAAAGAACAGAACCCTGGGGAACTCCGTTATTTAAAGAAGTAGCCTGTGATATGGATTTATTATGTGAAAAAAAAACGTGTTTTCTATTTAAAAAAACTGATGTTAGTATGTTAGTATTAATAACAGGTTGGAACTCACTTTCATTGTTACTAGCTTTCTGATAAGAATAGTGCGGTCTATCTTGTCAAAGGCCTTTTTAAAGTATATAAACACTCCACCACATATCTTCGTTAATATTCTGATGTCAGTTTTCTATCATATACGTATATAGATATAGATTTTATATATAGACAGACAGACAGACAGACAGACAGACAGACAGACAGACAGACAGACAGACAGACAGACAGACAGACAGACAGACAGACAGACAGACAGACAGACAGACAGACAGACAGAAAAATAAAATAAATAAAAAATAAATAAATTAAAACTACGTAATTAAATACAGCGTGTGAAGACAATACCAGTCAGAGTGGACGATGTGTAGACAGTGAACTTAAAGTGGCAAGGCATGAACAATCTGTGTATGCGTTAGCGCGTAACAATTACACTGGAGAGCTCAGAAGGTTACATTTTCTCCACGGCACTTCGTTGTTGAGAATGTGCGTGAGTAGCTATCATTGTAGTACAAGTAACTGATAGCTTTGATATGTTACATTTTCTGAATTAGTGGCATACGTCTGCGTTCGTGTCTGTATGTTCGAGACGTAAATCGAGTGGCGTATTTGTAATCAGTAGTAAACCTTTATAAATATCAGTGAACAATTTTGTCAAAACTTCTAAACTGACTCACGAAGACAACTGATTGTCCACATCAGAAAAAGACTACATTCTTTGGTCATGTGATGAGAGGGAGATAACTGGAGTACATCGTGACAGTAGGAAAGTTGGAGGGGAGGAGAGGTAGAGAGAGACTGAGAGAACAGATGCTGGACAGTTTGACATCATGGCATGGAGGATCATCTGTATTAGACCAACGCGACACAGCATGGGCTTTATGAGGAAGAAAAAGTCATCATCAATCAGCAAGTCCCTTGTCTGTGATTGTGGAGCAGAAAGACAAACCCATGAGCACATACTACAGTACTGCCGTAACCTCTCCCAGCAAAGACTGGATCTGGCCCAAGGGAGCCACATTGCAAGAGAAGCTATGGGAGACCGGTGGCGACCTTAAACGCACAATCCTATTTGTGACCTAGACGGGACTCAATGTTTAGCATGACCGATGTCGAACGCAGAAGAAGAAGAAGAAAGCAAGTCCTTTACAGAACGTTGCTCTCTTCAAGGGACGCATGAAATTATCACTTTCCCTAGCCAGCTCTCCAACCCCATGTGCTTTCATTTCCAATGCATCTTCAATGTCCTGTTTCCATCTTCGCGGTGATCGACCCCTGCCTCGCCTTCTACAAACTGTACCCTCCATCACCGTCTTTTCCAAGCCACCAAGACATTTGATATGGCCAAAATACTTCAATTTTCGGGACAGGACGCTGTTTATGAGCCAATTCTCCTGGATGTTTAACTCGTGTAGAATGTCATGTTTTCCCTCTTCTTTATCCAGTGTATTCTGAGAATTTTTCTGTATTTTTCAAAAGCTCCAATCTTTTTCCTCAGTGATTGATTAAGAGTCCAGGATTCGCAACTCAACGTTGTTACAGGAAGAAAAGAAAAAAAAAAAGAAGTAAACAGTAATAATCAATAAGAAAATTAGTTTTCATGGGCAACAGAAAGTGCAAGCGATGTTAACAGACATTACATGTCCCGCCTGGCAACAATTCACTTACCGTAAGCCATAGAGCGTGTGATCCACGGCTTTGTTCAAGTGAAGCTCCGCGCTTTTGTTCAAGATCCAAGATGGCAGCCTTAAAGCTATGGCAAAAACGACCCGGTTCATGTAGGCGACGTCGGCGGGTAATCCGTGTTTCTGCAGTCTCTGCATCAGCCATGTTCCTCTGCGGGTGCTTAGATACACTTGCTGGGTGATCAAGGATATCAAACAAATAAACGATTTGTTTACAATTATTATTTGAAAACCTACATCAAAGCACTCGGGACACTCTCATAAGCGCTCCGTAATAATTTTTCGCAGCAAGCGCGGAGTTTCAATTCTGATGGTACCAGCAACCGTCTGATTCTATGTCCGCTTTGCTCCTTAGCTGGGTTTTCAGGGTCGGACAGATCTCCTAGTCACTCCTTGCAGGAACCAGGAACATTCTCTTTAGATCGAGATGATCCATCTGTGCCTCTGCACTGTTTACTCGCTTACAAGGGTCCTTGCCAAATCCTTGCTGCATCAATTTACCACCAGATGGTTCAGAACCAGTCAATGTATCTGCCTGTTAGTTTCTCAACACACCGGAATCTCTGGAAAGAATAACAAACGGACGCTGACTACTTGGCACCTCTGAAGCGATGCTTGCCACTCTGCACGGAGCATACCTGTCTCTACCTTTCTCAACATGCCCTGTGAGTTAAACCGTTTAACACACAAAGTCATAAACACAACTCTACTGAAGTGATGTTGACGTAAACATCAACTGAGTTAAACTGTTTAACACACACAGTCAAAAACACAACACTATTTATGGAGAAAACAAGCATAGACCCACTGCTTTCTTAACAAGCATGTAGTAAGAGTCAACTAATCAGGGGATTCCTTCAAAGTCGGGGTGTATCTGCAAGAAATGCAAGGAACCAATAACCTGCATACAAATAAGCCAGATCCGATAAAACAGATGTGCACGCAATACTTCAGTTCTGGGATAACTGGAGGAACAACAAGACCTTTCCACCGATGAACGCAAGGAAAGAATAACATTTCGCTGTTAATGCCATTGTTTGGCACTGGTTCTTCTTTTCTGTCTCTTATGCCTTTGTAACTCCCCATGGGGCACAGGCTCTCAATCAACTCCTGCCAAGTCGTTCTATCCTTCGCATGCAGTTCTCCCTATGCCTTCCCAATCCTTTTTTTTACTTCACTTAATAGCTCCCTTCTCCATTGGGGTGGGGTGGGGAGGGGGTGGTTATGTATTCTATGCCCTTGTGGGTTCCAATTAGTCGACTCTTACGACATGCTTTTGGGAAGGCAGTGGGTCTATTATTGTTTTTTCCCACAATGGGGCCCCGGAACCCACACGGGGGATTTTAGTTATATTGTTCTCAGGTTTTCTCAACGTGTGTCCTATCCAGCGCTAGCGTCTTTTCTTCACCTCTTGGTCCACTGGAGCTTATTTAGATCTGTCCTTAACATTAGTGATTCTATAATACCATTTTTTACCCTTTATTTTGCGCAAGCACCATTTAATGAACGTTGGAAGTTTTTTAGTAACTGCCTTAGTTGTTCTCTGTGTTTCCGCTTCATACAACAGTACTGATTAAATATTAAAATTGAAAAAAAAAATGTAATTTAGTATTAGTTTTACTTTCTTTTGGCCTCCACAAATTCCCTAGTGAAATGAAAGCTCCTCTTGTATTTTGGCAATGCCTTTTTGTTTGGCGCTTTCCAATGAATCTGCCAATTACTGCCGTTATTATACCACTTTTGTGGTGTAGGCCTGAGAATTTACGGTCGCATGGCTAGTGCTGTCGCCACGACTGTGCAGGTGAGGATTTCATTATGTCTCCTGTGTAAGAGCCTTACGTTCTAACCGTTCGCCAGCCCCTCCTCGTTGTTTGACACTGCCAACAGAATATTATTTTTGTAACTAATGAGCTGGAGATTTACAACATGAAGAACAAACAATACCTTGCCGGCTCCACTCAGGGCAACAGCCGCGTCGCAACCCGAATTTCCGATGCCTACAACCACGTGACGAGAGCCGGCAACCTCATTCGCTCTTCGTAGATCACGTGAGTGAATTATGCGCCCTTTGAAAGTGGACTGGCCTTTGAAAACATTTTAAAAGCAAGAATCAGTATGCAAAAATACTTCTTCTTCTTCTTCTCCTTCTTCTTCTTCTCCTTCTTCTTCTGCTGCTGCTGCTGCTGATACTGCTGCTGCTGATTATTCTTTCTTTCTTTCTTTCTTTCTTTCTTTCTTTCTTTCTTTCTTTCTTTCTTTCTTTCTTTCTTTCTTTCTTTCTTTCTTTCTTTTCTTCTTCTTAAAAATATGCAAATTTGTTGCTGTTTTTAGTTTGGCCTTCATGGTGAAATTTTATGACAGCACGCTGTTTCCACTGTGTTTCTGTTTTCGCCAATTTCTAAACACAAGTCTAAGGTCTGGAAATCTAGAAACATTGAGATCATATAAATCTACATTATCTAAAGCCTATTTTTTAGTCAAATTAGTCAAAACGCGAGTCTTTGTTTACTTCTCTAGAAATCGCTTTCAAAATTCCCAGCAAAATGTTTTGATTTCAGTTAATCAGTAAATTAATCAGTCAGTCATTCAAAGAATTAATTAGTCAGCAAAATAAGAAGGTCACTCAAGGGGTCAGTCAATCAATCAGCCAGTCAAACAATCAATAAACAAGCCCGGCTCTCTAGCGTAATTGGCTAAACCGGATTGCGCGGAGACCAGGTGACGAACTCCTTGCGGTCCGGGTTCACTCCCGGGGGTAGGCAGAAAAGCCACATTTCTCCCAGATTTACGGTATTTACAATGGAATCAAGGCCGAAAGGTTGCGATATCCATAATACCGAGCCTAAGGGTTAACAACTCATGGCTTCTGGATACTAAAACAAACAAACAAACAATCAATAAACAAATCCATAAACCACAAAGTTAATTATTCAGTCAATAAATCAATCAAGCAATCAACCAATTTCAGTCAACCAATCAATCAATTAGTCAGTTAGAAAGTCAGCCAATCAATGTGTCAGTCAATCCCTCAGACAGCCAATCAATCAATCAGACAGTCAATCACCCAATCAGTTAATTAATGAAACACACAGCCAATTAATTGATGAGACAGCCAATCAATTTGACAGTCAATCACTCAGACAGCCAATCAATCAATCAGACAATCAACCACTCAATCAGTTAATCAAACAATCACAGCCAATCAGTCAATGAGACAGTCAATCTATCAATCAGAAAGTCGACCAATCAATCAGACTGTCAATTAATCAGTCAGACAGATATTCCAAACGAGAACAAACCTGGAAAATCAGGCATACTGATGTCTGCATGGTGACCGGAACAGACCAAGACACAGTCAAAGTAATACACCGCCACACTTCCTTTAGTCTTGTCCTTGACCCAGACTTCCCATTGAGCTGTCTGCTCAGAAGCACCCTGGTCTATGTTCATCTCGTCAGGATCTTTGACATTCGGGATGGCGGGAAGCTTTGGATAAGAAATGAACCCACACGTAGTTTCTCTCCGGGCCACAGATGGCGAGTTGATGTCTTCGTTGCGAGACTGATTCAGATTTCCATTTGTAGACACGTCATTGAAACTGCTTGGTTCCTTGCGTCTGTCAGAGTTATGGCAATACGAACTGTTCTTACACTCGACAACGGTTTTATCACTGGGGCACTTGGGACCGTTGTTAATAAGATCAGGGGAGCATTGGGGTGGAGCATTGATGCATCCATTGGAGCACTGGAGTCCAGCACTGATGTTATCACTGGAGCAATGTGGGGTATCATTGATGTTATCACTGGAGCACTCG